AATATTACCTGAACACCCGGACAACTTCCAACACAATGAATGATTTCTAACCATGTTTTGTGGTTTGCTTTCGTCTCCACTTCCCCCCCTCCCCCCCCCCCCCCCATTTTTCCGTTTGCCCCCTCCTCTGTGCTCCTGACTCTTTCTGCAGCCTTCCTACTGCTACTCCTAGGCTTCTTCTTATTCCTTTTTTTTTCAGCCACTCCCCTGATCTTATGTTCGGTAAGATCTAACACCTAGCCTTCTCGGATTAGGGCGAAAAATCTCGGAGGTCCCGTGTGCAAGTTGCGCACGTTGAAGATACCTTGATGGTCTTAAAATCGATAAGAGTAGGCTTCGGCCGCCACCCGGGCAAGATTCAAAATTCCGTCCAAACTGAAAGTGTTTAGTGTGTCCCGCGCGCTCATATGACCTTAGCCTTATGCAGTTGCGAGTGCCGTAAAAAAAAACTTACGCAATAACGAACTAAATAAATTAATTTAAAATTAAAGAAAGAAAGAAATAAATAAATAAAAATTAGCAACTTCCTGAGGGCCTCGAACGAATGAAAGTGAAGGATGGGGAATCATGAGCGCCAGTGTCTGCCCCTAAGGCCATATGAACGTCAAGGGGTGGATGTCAACAAAGAAGTCCTTACGTTACAGGAAATCAAACCTTACGCTGCTCACCTCTCTAGCCTAACATCTGCGTTTGTTGCCATTTTTTTGGTCCTAAAGTTGCCACAAAAAATGATAAAAGTTGCCATTAATTTTCAAGCGTTCAATTCTCTGTGACAACGTATAGTATATGTTGATAGAGGCAACTTAATCTAAAGCACCAGAATTTCTTGTGTTAAGCATCCAGAATATAATGTGTAGCCACACAGACAGAGTGTAAAAACGTGTAAGAGTTTCCACAACAGAATGAAATCAAAATAAGAACAGCACATTAGTTTTAGTAAGCGTTTTACGGCACTTGCAACAAAATAACGTCATATAAATGCCGAAGATTAGAAGTGTTAAAACAAGAGAGTAACAAACACAAAATAGAAGGAGGAGAGATAAACACTATACAATGTAGATATTTGGCAGGAAAGAAGGAGCAAACCACACCAGAGCTCCCGCCAACCACCCATACAGCACATTAACAACCACAAAAATTAACAAATCAATTAAGTGCGTGCATCCACATTTCCTGAAGATTGGCCGTTTTAATTTTAACCCTAAACGTGTGTATTTCAAGAAAAAGTACAGGATATTAATATTATATGCGTATATAAATTATAAAATAACACACAAGGGGCCTGCCAGTGTCAGCATTCGGTTTTGATGGAGACACACTGCAACATAACACACTTAAAAAGAAAAAAGAAAGGTGGGAAAATATCAAATGAAATGACATTACTCTCTCTCTCTCTCTCTCTCTC